TGGAAAACCTGGCCTGGGGACACAGCTCAGTAGTGTAGCATGTGCCTGGAAAGTGCAAGGTTCTGAGTTCATTTCTGGACCAAAAACAAACAAAAAAGTAACACAATTAAAAATCTTCCATTTTTGAATATTTGTAGTTTTGCCTTTCGAAGATCCCATTCCTAAGAATTGGCCATTTTGGGGGGCTGTTGTGATTTTTTGAGACAGGGTCTCATTATGTAGCCCAGGCTGGCGTTGAACTCTTGGCTACCTCCTCTCTTCACCCCCAAGTCCTGGGGTTTGCCACCACACTTGACAAATTCCCTATTTTTAAAATCTGAGGTAGGGTCTCAGTATGTTGCCCAGGCAGGTTTCCAAGTCCCAGAATCAAGTGACTCTCCCATCTCAGCCTCCCCAGTAGCTGGGATCCAAATAGCTGGGATTATGGGTACATAGTGCCAACCTGTCGGAACTGTTTTGTGTTGTTTTGTTTCTGAGACAGTGTCTTGCTCTGTAGTCCAAGCTGGAATTATCCTCTTTTTTTCTTAATAATTATACATTTTTAAATTGGATTTTTCTTCATCCTACTGGTTTATAATAGTAACTTTGTGTAATTAAAGACACTTATTTTTAACATATATGTTGAACATATTTCTATTTGTTTTGCTTAAAGTGTGTTTTTGGATGCCTGATTAAATTTAACTCCTGCTTGTATACCTAAGCATGGTGTCACAGCCTATAATCCAGGCACTCAGGAGGCTGACACCAGAAGACTGCTGCAAGTTCAAGGCCAGCTTAGTGAGTTCAAGGCTATTCTAAACTACGTGACAAGACCCTGTCTCAGGACAAACAAAAATATGCTTGTATCTAGATATCAATCATCCTTGGGTTGACTTTAGTACCAATTTTTTTTTTTAAATTCTGGAGAACAAGTACATACTAACAAGTCAGTCTTGAACACTTAGAGTCTGAAATGCCAAGCTAATCTTTGGCCACTGCCCTCATTCAGCCTGCATCTTCCTTCACCCAGATCTCTGCAACTGGACTAAGTTGCCTCTGCCTCTGGTCTCACGCTCATGTAAGCCATCTTTTCATCACTGCCAAAGTACAGCAAAGTACAGCCTCTAGTCTACAGTGTTATGTCGCACACTTGTTTCCAGTTTAACTCATGGTGACAAAATCCAACTCCTCAGCGCGGTCTTCATGCCTCCACCCTGTGTAACTTTCCCAGCTTCTTGCACACTCAGTGCCACAGAGCAGCCACTGTGGCCTGGTTATGGTTCTCCAAAAGCACACCACATCTTCATAGGCAGGAGTAATTCTGCTGTGCCCTGACTGTGGAGCCCCTTTCTTTTCCATCACTGCTGATGAACTCGTATTTAAGTTCTTCTCTTTAAACTCAACCAAATCTTGGCACTTCCCTGGAAGCTTCTCGGCTTCTCTCCATTCCGGCTGCTTCCACGCTGTCACAGGCTCCACGCATCTCCCCCCTGTCACTTCTGAGCCTCCTTCTGTCTGTCCTTCCAGGAGACCATGAATGTGGTGGCAGCCTTCACTGGTGCTTCAGATCTTCTTGGTTTTGTTCTGTTTGTTTTTGTGGTGCTGAGGACTGAACATACAGCCTTGCATTACTAGGCTTGCACAGTGCCCTAAGCTGCATCCCAGCCGCATAATTCAGCATCTTACACAGAGTAGATGCATCACAAAGCATTTAGTTTTCAGTAATTAAATATACAGACAAATTAACATTTCTATATTCCTTAAGAAAAGCACAACAAAAACACTATCAAACTCTTCAAGATTAAGCAATGTAATATCAGGGCATTAATAATAATTTAAAAGAATTCCATTTCTAGAAATATTGCTTTTCTTCTCTGTGCCTTAATTTCCACACTTTGAGATCTAAAATAACATTACCAAGTAAACACCTTCAGAAAATAAACTAAGACTGAGACAGCAGGATCACGTTGAGCTGAAGGCCAGGCCAGGATGCATAGTAACACCATGTCTCAAAAAATAAAACAAAATATACAAAAAAGGACGATAAACTAGTGTTACAGCTTGTGTTTAGATGCCCCCCAAATTCTCATACAGTCATAGCTAGAGCTTTTTCAGATCAGGCTGAGTCTAGAGTGAGTGACATCAGAATTGATTCATGATGCAGTGCTAGGATCAAAGGTGCTAGGATGAAAAGAATGAGTGCTACCCACCCTAAGTAGCCTGGATAATATTTAAGGGATAGAAAGAGCTGTGGCCACTTCTGCCCACCATGAACTGTTTCTCCTCTGAAATGCCCCTCTGCCATACCAATCCTGCACTGGAGCCAGCCGGTTATAGACTAAAACTTCTACAAACTGTAAACTGTAAATAGAGGGTGCCAGCTATTTTGTCTCAGCAATGAAGAAAAGAACTAAGAAATGCTAAGACCACTAGGATAGAAAAAAATTAAGAAATTTGGTTGCAAAGTGTTTCCACACATAAGTTGTTGGTATAAAATCCCAGAAGGTCTAAGAATATCTTATTTTTGAAGATCTACACTTGTAAAAGTGATTGAATAGTGTACTATGGCTCATTCTTGGAGGAATGATTCAAAGGTAGTTTATTGTTAGGTAGAACTGCTAATTTGAAGGCACCATGAAATTCCAAACATAGGATTTGGAGATGATGAGAGGAAATTAAAGGGTTATAAAATTGAAAACAAAATACAGTAGAACTGTGGTTCTACTTCTAACCTTTGTACCTAACCCAATGAAATGGACACTTGTTTCTATTATTTATTCTCCAGTATCAAAGTGATTGAAATGGCAATAATTAAATCAAAATTGAAAAACCTAAAAGATTTTCAGTTCCTTCATTAAGCTGAACACAGCCTAAATGTTTAACAAAATATTAAAATTACTTGCATACCTGAAAGTTTATACTATCCCAGTCTTCTTTTTTTTTTTTTTTTTTTTTTTTTTTTTTGGTCTTTTTCATTTTTATCAGTACCAGGGATTGAACTCATGATTGCCTGCTTGCAAGGCAGGCGCTTATGCCACTGAGCTAAATCCCCAGCCCCACTATCCCAGTCTTTAACAGAGACAGAGAAAGAGAGAGACAAAGAAAGAGACAGAAAGAGGAGATTGATTTTTAGGCCCTAATATAGAAAGCTACATATAACTATATTATTAAGTGAATAAAAGTATTTGCAAAATATAATCTATTTAACCTCATTTCTATAAACATGTTTATACACATATTTATCTATACATATTAAAAACTTGAAATTTATCAGTTGCTCAGGGGAGAAAGAGTGCTCTCAGTATATTCTTGGCATGTTAAAGATTTTATAATGAGATTTATTAATTTTGGATAAAACAATAAAAATATTAATTTTTACTCTGTGGAATAAATTCTAGGAGAATGGGATATTACTCCAAGGAACTCATTTTATTTTTTAATTTTAATTGGTATATTTTAACCAGCTCTTTCTTTTCACACAAACATTGTCCCAATCTGCCCAACCTCCTACAGCTTCCTCCATCTCCCAGGAATTCTCTGGTCAAGTAAGTGTTGAGAAACTTTCTGAAACACCTTCCCTTCCAAAGACTCAGCTTTGAGGCTGGGCTCCATCTGTGCCCGCCATTCAGCAGGCAGAGGCTGCAGACCCAGAACCCTTAATCACAGGCTCACAGCTGACTGAACCCTTCTTATGACAAGGCCAGGAAGCCCAGGAAGGAAGTGGTCTGGAGGACTCCAACTGGACAGCAAAGTCACCCAGTTAAAATGCTGAGGGCACAGCCCCTGCCCCACCTGGCTGAGTAACCGAGACAAAGAAACAGTTTAACCACTACGTTCTGGCTTGGGCTGGCAGAGCAGATATGGCCAGAGAGGATTCTGGAGCAACACGAAGAGATCAAACCTGGGGAGCCATTAGGAATTAAAATAAAAGATGCAGACACATAGAAGTAAGTTCTGTGCCCTCAGAGGAGCACCCACACGGTGGCAGCATGACCTTTCCTCCCAGGTCAGTGGAAGGGACACATAAGTGTGAGAAGTGGCCTCAGGTGCCCTCCTGTTTCCATGGTGGGTGTTCGAGTGAGTGGGATTCTGAGAGCATTATATTCTGACTTTTGAAATGTCACCCCTTATTTGAAACCCAAGTGCCACTTTCTCCAGAACATTTTCCCTAAATAAACCTGAATGATATATGTGCCATTTGAATCAATGTAATAGTTTATTAAACTACATCCTTTCATCACCTCCTTACTAGACGACAAGCACCCTTAAGGAAGAAATCATGTTTTGGTTTGTAATATTTTCCACAACACCTGGTATGAGACTGAGAATGTCACACATCTTCAGTAAATAATTGATTGAAGGAAAAGTTGAAAGGAAGAAACCATCAGGCTTCTTAAAGTTTCCTAACATTCTTCCCAATTTAGACCATATATACCTGCCCTTGTTCTCAAATCACAGGGCCTCAGCTTCACCTCGACCTGGTATCTTTTCCAAGCAAAGCTATCCTGAATGCAAATTCAGTCTCAAAGCACCACAAAGAATGATCAAGAAAGCACAATTCCCTCTTTGGGTACCAGGCTCTTTCTGTTTGTGTGTATGGGGGGGGGGGTTGTGATGTGGTGGGTGGAGAGGAGAGAGAGGAAAGAGAGACTGCAGGCAGTGATTATGTGGAAGGGATTTGTTATGTCCCCCCCACCTTCTTTGTCCTCTGTCTCCTCGTCCCCTTCTGCATTTGTCTGGGAGGATCCTGGAGTGTTCTTTTGATCGACTCAATCTTTCTCTGGCACTTGAGTTCTGATTGGCTGAAGGACTTGGGGCGAAAAAACTTTAATTAAGTAGATAATCTCTTTTTTGGACGTTTGGCAGCTCCATTTCACCTCCCCTTAACTCTGTTTGGGATCACTTACACACCAAGGAAGTCGGGCTGAAGGAGAATTCCATCCCCCTGCCACTGAGGAGAATACTTCCCATCTTCTGTCTCCCAATTTCTCAGGAGTTTTTTTTTTTTTTCTGTTTCTCAGAAGATTATGTTTCTTATGAAGCCTTCCGTGTGCATCTTTCTTTTCACCTGTGTCTTCCAACTCAGCCACCCCTGGTGAGTAACCCGGACTGCTACCTGGGCCTGGGAAGAGGTCAGGGTATATTATTCATGGGACAAACTCATTTTCATTTCCAGAAATGAGGAGGCCTTGAGATTTCTCCCACGAAAAACCATCCTATGGAACAGGCTCCTCCTAAGTCAATGGCTGGTTTCAGTAAATTTTTAGGACTCTTGCCAATGAAAGGCGTAGATTAGAAGATGAGAGGGTCCTTTTATGAATTATAATATTCCAAGTGATTTTTGGAGAAATGGATAGGAAACCCGTGTACCAAATCCTGATATCAGCATTGTGGACAAGAGGAAGTGCTTTAAAATAATTTTAGTATGTGCTCAAGGTAAATGCTGGAGACAAAATGTGATTTTCACTTTCCAACTTAATTCCAATTTCTTCAGAATACTTTAAGTAACTGTTTATGTTGTCACTTCCTAGACAGTGAAAATATATTTGAACTACCAAATTGGTATTGGGCAAACAAACATGCGTGAAATAAAACATTTTAAAAATCTAAACCTTTATAAATGTATTTAATTTATTTAAAACTGTTTTAAAGTCCTCAGACAATGAGACAGTGTGAAGATATGAAAGTGTTTTTGCAAACTATGAACCATTGCTTAAGCCATAGGTACTCTTTCCTTCCTCAGTTAGCTCTTAGAAACTACATACACTATCTACATACACGTCGCAATTAATGAGCAGGCACACAATAACAACCAGAAGCACGACATGTGAGAGGCATGTTTCTGGAGTGTTTGGAGTTTCCCTTCCAGTTCACATACAAGTTCAGCCTTTCACATCAGTTCTCACTTGGACCATCCACCTAAGCAACATGCAAATACAAGTGCTTCGTAAAATGTCCAGGAAGCTAGCAGAAAAATTCTTTTGCTGAAATAAGCTTCCAGTGGTACTGAGGGCATATTCTTATCTTAACCATCTTTATTAGAGGGTTGATTGCAGAATAATGTCAACTTGGTAAGCCAACTGTAAGAAAATGCAATAATTTGCAACATTTCCAGAAGCATAAAATAACTGATAAATGTTTAAGAGTCATTCTAATTGAATATTTCAACCTTGAAAAAAGCTCTCTTCTCTCACCCTCATGAGAACAAAAAGACAAAAGGGACAGGCAATTTCAGAGCATTTCTACTGATGCTCACGGTATTCTTCAGCTGACTCAGTATCAGCAAAAGGGAAACACGAGATTCCTTCCCCAGTCACCAGGGCAGTGTGAAGAATTGCTCTACAAAATACCTTTCCCGTGCGTTCCCTTCCCTGCTGGAGGGGTCACGTTCACTTCATTCCCGTCCTGACACAGCCACCCTGAAAGGTGGCCGGGCTGCTTGTCTGTCCAAATTCAAGTGTCTGGATTCAAAAAGAAAAAAGAAAAAGATGTGAAAGAAGCTCTAATTTAGAGACGAGGTCTCAGAACTCCCTCTTGCCTTGCCTGAGTTGGAGCAGAAAATGTGCAAATTTCCTGTGTAATGCAATTAGATTTTAATTGCTTTTTCTTGTAAGTCTCAATTTGAATTAAACATTTGTACTTTGCACAAGATTATTTCTTGGTAGCAACTGAAATGTGAGTTTCAAATTTAACACTAAGTCTTGGTTATTCTTATAATGAAACAATCAAGGTTTTGCATAAGGTCATCTCTTTGTGTCTGCAGAAAGTTTGACCAACTACAGACTTTAAGATGTTGCTCTTAATACTTCATTATCAACCTTTTATGTGAGGACCTCAAAAGCCTTTAACCATAGAGAACCATGGTTTCTGCTGGGCTGTTCAGCGTAGGCCTGCCTGAAATTGCTGCCTAAAAGAGTCCAGCAATAGCAATCCCTGAGCTTTAAAGGGAGTGGATAATGATGACATTCACCCACAATATGTGGTTCACTGAGCGATTCAGTGCAAGATTTATTATTATTACAATTGATAGAAGAATTTGCCACAGTTTCTTAATGGTAGGATACTTCTGAGGATTATCCTTTGTAACTTGAAAAAAATCTTTCCTTTGTTTTTCTTAATCTTTATGGCTCCTAAAAAAATAGGATGGGGGATCCATGAAACAGCCAAGAAGATGGTAACGGTTAGAATGTGGTCAGAGATGACCCACGTGATTTTCACTTGCAATACACATACTGGTCTGGAGTGGACAGGGCTGTATGTGATGTTTTTCCTGGAACACTGAGCCCATTTTACTTGAAATGGTGTCTTACAATGCTAGAGATCTTACCCAGCTCTCTCTCTTGCTCTCTCTCTCTCTGTTTCTGTCTCTGCCTGTCTCTATCTGTCTGTCTCTCTCTCTCTGTCTCTGTCTCTGTCTCTGTCTCCAAGTCAGAGAGACGTAATAGGATGTGGAGGTAATCTATGCCTCATTCTTGTTCCCTCTTTTCTTTCCAAAGAGTGTATCAAGGGTTTCAAACAGGGTCAGTTTCTCTTCTGCAGTAGAGCAAAAATTTGTCTGAAATGTTTGGATTTTTAAGGCAATGTTTGAAAATCCTCACTGGTTTGGCTGTCAGTATTTAGGTTGAGTAATCTGTCTACAGATATTGAAATTTTATCTGATAAGAACATGCTAGAGACTTGATTAGTGAAGGAGTTTTTGGCTGTGTTGATTGCAGTGCCAGAGAAGCACCCAGAATCTTCTGCACGCTAAACAAATGCTCACTGCTGTGCCCCAGCACGGGGGTCAGTCATCCTAGGCAGGTCTTTACATCCATGTTCCCTCCAAGTACTACTTGTAGATAAAACTATTGCTCTCCATATATACCTGCTACTCTTTTCAGATGCGTGTGGTGAGTGGCAAAATGTGAATTCATTTAAAATTATCAAATTCATAAGTTTTTTCATGTAAATGTTTACTGCAGATATTAAAAGAGTAAGTTCAAGCAAGTGATAGTCCACTAAATTCGCCCCTTTAGTAAAGAATTCTCCTTCTCAAAGAGGCTGTGGTCTCTAAAATTAGGGGGAAAAGATGTGAGAGGTTACTTTGGAATTTGGAGAACAGTAGACCAATGTAAAAGATGACTCATCTAATGACATCCTGGGTCCGTTAGAACCGAGGCGAGCCTGGAAATGAAAGGCAAGAGTGGGCCTGAGAGGAACAAGAGAAGCAGTGGCCTGCAGCCAGGCAGCCAGGACTCAGGGCCGGACCAGGGCAGCTCTGACCCTGGTCTCTGTTCCTCCCATCCTGGGAGACATAAAGACTAATTAACAAAACCAGTTCAGCTTTGCCTATGAAACTGTTGTGTAAGTGATGCTCTGAGGCACATCCTCTCTCTCTCTCTCTGTGTGTGTGTGTGTGTGTGTGTGTGTGTGTGTGTGTGTGTGAGAGAGAGAGAGAGAGAGAGAGAGAGAGAGAGAGAGAGATACTATGACATACAGCGGTATCTCCAATTTGCGATGCTCCACAGAGAGAAACAGCACTGGAAAAGGGAGCAGAAGCAAAGGAGTTTTGATCCAAATACTTCCTCTTCCATGGAGATTACTCTTTTCTTTTTCCCAGCTGGACATTGGTTTAAAGTCAGCTCTGTATCCGGTAATACTATTCTTCCATGGGTTTAAAATAAAATTCATTTATATGAGGCTCAAAGGACTCATTTCTATTTCTATCGAAAAAGTCAAAGAGAATTCATATGACTTAGAGAGTGAGATCAAGACAGTTTTACTTAGGACAAATCCAATTTTTCTGAAAAGAGACTTTTCTTCCTAAGCAGAGGATCAGGTCCTTTCCTGGGTGAGCAATTGGGAGAAAAACTCCCAGCTTGGTTCCCATCAACAGTGCCACCCCTTGCCTCTCATCTGAAATACACCTAGACCCCGTAGGCTCTCTGTCCACTCTGAGGACATTCTGCAGTCTCATTAGGAGCCAGACTTCTGCTGTTTGCTTTTCTCAGTCTGTACTGTAATCCTCACTATTGACAGTATCACTTCTGCGGATGCTTCTTAGGTGAGAGCTTTTACTGGGCCAACAAAAAACCAGACACAGGGACTCACTTAAACTCACCACTATCTGACCAGACCAAGACATCCTTCTACATAAGTCATGTCCCCAATTCCACGGTCCTCTGGTGCCAGCACATAATGAGGCGATGTCACAGGGTCCCAATGGGACTCCATAAGAGGGTTGATTGCTCAGTCTTTCTATCCAATTCCATGAATAAAATTCTTCTCTTCTGCAGGCCACATGTAAACCACCTGCATAAGGAGGCGTTTCCCTGCCATTGGTAACTGTGGCTTCCCTTTGCTGTCACAAACCTCAGTTCCTTTCCTGCACCCGGGCTCTTCAGGCCCATCCTGTCCACCTGGGAAGGTTCCATTTCACATGGAGATCAGGGGAAGGAACAGCCCCCCACCCCCAGAGCTTGACAGGCACTTCCCTTCATCCAAGGTGGCCATGGAGCCCAGATTCATGTTTTGGGGTTGTTTTGTTTGGTTTTAAGTCTTGCATTATGAAAAACATCATTTTTTTTTTTTACAAAGACAGAGCAAACAGTTCTATAGTGAACCCCCTTAGCTTGGCTTCAGCCATTATCAATCGTGACAAATCATGGTTCAGTGTTTTCAAATGTACTGTATTGTTCTCTTAGTTTAAGTCATCCAAACACTCCCGAGGCTGAGAACAGAAAGACAAGGGAGAAGAGGACTCTCCTTGCTGTCTGCGAGATCTGGGATGAGGAAGTAGGATGAATCTTGGGAAATGCACCACAGAGATGATTGCCCCTGGGGTGGAGGTGGGGAATCAGATTACAAATTAGCCTAGGAAGGTGAGTTATTGGATTACAGGTTTGAGTTTCTTTCTGCTTCAGCAGTAGTTGGTTAGCAAAGGTGACAGAAACTGTTGGATGGAAAGGATGAAGACAGAAATTTTTACTATCCCATTTGTTCCAATAGGTACTGAGAATGCTATGAAAAGGTCAAAGCCTGCTGATTTTGTCGACCTTGAACTGCCCCAGATGCTTTACAAGATAATTCTTAGGGTTGCCCTGCACACCCCACTCC